TGTCTGTCTGACTGACTGTCTGACAGTTCAATGTAGGAGTGTGACGGTCCAACGTTACTGAAACAAACACACCTGCACTCACTATCAGCAATAGACTGTAAACAATACAACAGTGTAAACTAATCCGGTAAAAGTGTTGAAATCAAACAGTATCTAAATGTTACCAGCATAGTTAGCATTTCCTATCATTGGAATATAATTATCTTTTATAACACATCAGAGGATTGTTTATGCCGATGCACAGTGTGTAAACAGCATGTTAATGGTGTTTCTGGTCAAGGTACAGCTGGAAAGATGATTCTCTAACAATTCATTTGTTTGTAAAAATCTGATAATGAGTAACTAGTAGCAGCAGCTGTTATGTGCAGCTACTGAAGTGGAGCAATACAAGTAGAAGCATAAAGTGGTATGAAATGGAAATACTCCAGTAGAGTACTGTAAACCTGTGCTGTGTATAGAGTTAGACATGTCGGCTGATGTTGGCCCAAGGAGAAATTGCAGTTACAGCTATTTTAGAAACTGTGTAGCTGTTACATAGTTTGTCCACCAGAGAGCGAACACAGGTTTATTTTAACTGTTAAATGTCAGCTCAGTAGGTATCTTGATAATAATTTAACAGAAGACACATTTAGGGGAGCCTTATCAAAAATGTGTTCATTTCTTGTATATGCTTTTAAAAATAAGCTTTTTGTAAAGAATAGCTTTTTGACCCATGTTTCTGGTCTGTTCTTCTCCAGTATGAAAACCCATGGACAATCCCCAACTTTTTGTGTGTTTGTCGCATTGTGCTGGCTCCGTTTCTGGGTCATCTGATCATCGAGCAGCACTTTCACGTCAGTCTCGCTCTGTTCATGCTGGCTGGCGCAACTGACCTGGTAATATAGACGTCAACCGTTTCACGAAACACTTGTTGCACTTTTCTCCTGTTTCTGCTACTGTATCAAAAATAGGACTCAATTTGTACTAATCTCTGACTCTTTTCAACCTGAGCTGAGAAGAAGAAGCGGAAGAAGAAGACGAGACAGCATTTTGTTAGAGAACATTACCCATACTTTCTCCCTCTTTCTGTCTCACTCAGCTGGATGGGTACATTGCCAGGACGTGGCCCACTCAGAAGTCTGCGTTGGGCAGCGCTCTCGACCCATTGGCTGATAAGATCCTCATCAGTATTTTGTATGTCAGTCTCACCTATGCGCAACTTATACCAGGTATTGCACCAGGATTTAGTTTTGTTTGACAGTTTTAGAAATGTATGAAGGAATGACAAGGTTATGTATTGTGCTGTTTACTCCGTTTCAGCTCCACTGACAGCTCTAGTGATTTCCAGAGACATTGGTTTGATAGCTGCTGTTTTCTGGGTCAGATACAAGACTGTACCTCCACCGGTGAGACTCATTCCATTTCACTCTAAACAAGCCCCCTTTGACTAAGTTTGTTTCATAGAATTTAAATACTGAGACTGTAGCTGAAGAATGTTCAAGAGTGTCAGAAGGATAAAGTCATATTGATGTACTCTGGATTACAATGGCCACTGTAGTAGACTCTCTGCCTCTTTTTCCTCCAGGTGACCCTTAGTAAGTTTTTTAACCCCTGCTACACCACAGCCCAGCTCAAGCCCACACTCTTCAGCAAGGTGACTCACACACACACACACACAGTCACACACACTAACCAAACCTACCACCCACTCTTACTATGCACTGGAACATTTTGTACATTTCTGTAGTAAAGTGGAGATTTAGCAACAACGGAGCCTTAAATAGCAGGATTTAATGAGTATGTGTGATTATTTTATTATTGTGAATATTTTCAGATTTTTAAAACCTGTGCATGACAGCCACCAGATGCAGAAACTGATAACCTGGCACAGTGCATTACAATTAAGACCAAAGTCAGGAAAGAAGTCATTTCTTTCCAACTTGAATGTGCAACCTGTACCCTATATATTGGGCTGGGGATTATGACTGGAAAATAAAATCTCTGATTAACATAACATTCATGATTTAAATCTCCATTTTACATTTCAGTCATTTTTTGCATTGTTCGATAACAGATTTGATTTGAGCCACAATACTTGGAATGCTAAAGTCCTGTAGCATGAATGCATTTATTTTCATACATATGAATGTGTAGAACACACTTCTGGAAGAAAGGTGGCTGGCAGGATTAGTGTTATTTCTTATTTTTATTTTAGCTGCCAAAAAGTGTTGTTTTGTTCTTGGAGCCAGCCTCAACCCATGTTACATGCTCAACATATTTGATCTGAAATAATGAGCCAAACTTCATTTGTTTGTTTCATTTTTTGTAATGTTTTTACTCTGTGTGTTTTTATTTATTTGTATCTTAGGTGAACACAGCCATCCAGTTCCTTCTGGTTGCAGCTTCTCTAGCTGCTCCAGTCTTCCAGTATACGGACAGTGTCCTGCTGCAGTGCTTATGGTAAACCTCCATACAGTATATTACATATGCATACACATGTAGGTCTTATCCACTTGACTTTAATATCCAGAATGTCCTTTCCAATGTAATGGTTACAACAAAGCACAACATGCAAAGGGTTATTGAATGCAGATGGTTTCCTCTCTGTCAAGCACATAAATGCTGTTTGTTCCAGCCGAGTGTTCGGGTTAAGTGCGTTGACTCATTTCAATTTACAACTCCGAGTGAGTTGGAGTAGAGATGCAACTCAGGACAAACATTTTACTGTGTCACAGTAACCTACATTTTTATACAGATTCAGCAGACTGTTAAACTAAAGTACACAGGCGTCTGTAGTTTTCTTGTTCAGCTGAAGTACATTTAGAATTCATTTGTTCAACTCTTATCATTTTTCAGCATGAACACCTACGTTAAATACAAGTGGGACCTAATAACCACGCTGAAGTCCTTTATTTCTTTTTCTTTTTTTTTGTTTTTGCTTTAATACTTTAATACTATCCTAGCTTACAGGGCCAGTGTAGGAGGGTCTATTAGCAGAAACAGAATATAATGTTAAGCATGTTTTCAGACAGAGGCAGCGGGTCCTCTTCTGCAGAGTCCACCATATTTAACTGAGCCATGTAGAACGGACAAACCAAACCTGCCTCTAGACAGGGGCTTATCGCAGCAACTGCAACTTCACTGATAGATGCCACTAAATTCAACATGCTTGCCATTTAGGTTTGCTATTACAATAATAAACTTTTTCAGTGGTTAAATAAATAAATAAATTTGTAAAATTGTGTTTCAAAACATGCATGCATTCCTTACGCTAAAATATCTCTTGATATTACCACTCAGGGTCTTAAGTCACACATTTTAAAATTGTACACAGAATTGAATGGTACAATATGAGTTCAATAATGCAGTACAGTAAGTGTCTCAATGTATTAATCAGCTATAACCCACTGGAGGATGATTACTATATCAATAATAATATAATACAAAAATAACTTCAATGATGCTGTTGGCATTTAAAATAAACTCATTTGACCAATCAGAGAGCTTGAATGGCACTATTATTAGAATTGCAGTCTGTCATGTGTTGTGTTATATTGCAGGTACGTTACAGCGGTGACTACAGCAGCATCCGGCTATAGCTACTGGCACTACGGACGCAAGACTGTCCAGGTGCTAAATACCAGATCACCATGACAACCACACCAGGAAACGCCAAGGAGAACAAAAGCAGCCAACAGCCGCTGCAGAGACACTGATCAGCTGTGGCAAAAGTCGGACAGACAGATGGACAATTGCCAGGAGCTCTGAAACCAAGTAGCTGTGACAACCATTTATGAGTCGCCATGGCAATGACACACGGAAATCAACCGAGGCCGCAGATGGTTTACTGTGACACTACAGAAACGCCTAACAGCAGCTCTGCATCTGGACTGCATCTGGACTGGCTGTGGACGAGAGACACAGATAAAAACAGCAAACACAAATATAGACCATCTACGCACACACACACACACACACACACTCTCACATACACTCAAACATACATGTCAAGTATATGTTAAGTGATCTGGTGGCAACGGAGGTGGAGGTGGCAACGTGAGCCTGATTAGTCACATGATTGTCAGTTTTGTAAACTAATGATTTCTGATTAAAAAAAGAATCTGTTTTGGTTAGTCTCTCTCTGTGTCTGTGTGTATGAAAGTGTGCATGTGACCGTTTGGATGCAGGGTTGACTTTCTTAAGGATGACACATGTTTAATCTGACAGTGGTATCTGTTTGAAATCAGCATTAAGGATTTAAAAATGGCTCTACAAATGCGGTGACATGCTATCAGCACAGGGCTGGGCAAGTGGACCAAGAGCCACCAAATGGATCTTCTTGCTTATTTATCAGACGAGAATTAATTATTATATTAATTGATTCATCACTTAGTAGGAATTTAATTACTGAGTCATTGTTCAAGCAAAAAACGTGCTTCACTGTGGGTTCCCTGACACTTCATAGACTTATGAAAATGAATGGCACTTTAGTCAACAGTGAAAGAAATCGGTAGGTGCAGATTACTGATATGATTGGGATTTTTTATAGATGCCAGAAGTAAAAAAATGCCCATCAACCTGCCCATGCACATTTGCATCGTATTGTAAAATAATATTTGCTGCCTCTGTTAAATGAAGTAGAGGATGACACCTTAAAATTGCTTTTGCCCAACAGCAAAAAGGATAAAACAGACAAAAGCAAAGCAAAGCATCACATTTGAGCTACCTGGCCAGCTACAACCAGTGAAGGGTTGAGATTAGTGTTTTAGTACTTGTCTGTTTTCTCACATCTCTCAATGTCTTTCACTCAGGTGCGGCACTCATGTCTGAATCCTCTGCTTATTTCCCTGCACTTCCACGGTTATGATTATTCAGAGAACCACGACTGCTGTAATAGTCCTTTCAAGTTCTTCCAGTCTCAAGATCAATAAGACCAGCAAGCCAGAGGTTATTCAGAGCCTTGGGTAGAACACCAGCTGGACCTTTTTCACTGAACTCCTGGCAGTTGTATCCGACTCTGCCGCTTATTTTCCCCCTCAAGAAAACTAGTGTGATGAGGGAAACGTGGCTGCGTAACCTTTTCAACTCTTCCACTTACTTCCCAGCAATTTTCTGCCTCACTTGGGTAATGCTGTTTCATTATCCACAGTGTGCCAATGACTGCCAGGCTTGTGTGAGTTGTTTTTGTGGCCTTGTGTGGGATGTCTGCTCATTATCTCTTCACTGAATAATTTAAACAGTCTCATTCTAAATTGAGATATCCATCACTGGGAACAAATTGATACCTACGCTCATTAAATGACTGTTTAAAGAACTTGTGGTGCTTTTTTCTTTTACTTAAGCCCATATTTGAAAACACAGATTGGAAGTGTATAATTTGAAAGTACTAGATGATGCCCCACAGGCTTTTCATGTAGTGATGGGGAACGGCTCTTTAATTAGTAGAGCCTCAGAGATAAAAGCTTTAAAAAATAAAAAATAAATATCAAACTGCTCTTTTCTTTTCCAGCTCTCAGTGGTGAACTTGTACTCGAGCGTGCTACAAGTGATCGGGATTGACAAATATTGTAAGCATTATTTATTAGTCTCACTAAAGTGGTTTAGTTAGAAAGTAAGGAATGGTGTATGAACTGAAGCTGGAAAATATCACATTCATTTCAAGCTTGTTTATGCAAGCACGTGTTTCAATAAGATTCAGTCTTCGTTACTATAGGATAGTATAGGACAAGATTCTTTTAATATAAATAAAGTGTAAAACATTTACAGTGGTCAAAAATAGCAGCCATCAACCAATTGCATGCAGATTTGACCTGTGACTGCAGGGCTTTTCTGCTCTTCTGGCCACTTATTCATTCTTCAGAAATCATATTAGGCTATTGTAGTTAGGAATCCATTAGCCTAAAACTGCTCTGTTGGCATATACAGTATGTTCTTTTCCAGTTGTATTAAAAATGTTGTATACCCTCATCTGAGAAAATGCCCCCCATTCGCTTTTTGATATTTGAGTAGATTCAATGTAAAATGGAAGAGTTTGTGTCTACTGGTCCAATACTGTAGTTGCTACAAGTCACTAGAACAGCTTTGATTAATTATGTGCGGAGTTTCTTTAAAACCACTTTAAAATATAAATTCAATAAAGTAAAACTAATAATATTACACTTCACTTTGTCTGATACCAATAAAACAAAGTGTTGTTGATATTTGTCATGGACTTTTAATGTCATTTTGTTGTGACAGGTGCACCCACAGTATCAGAACTCTGCACTAAAGCTGAATTCATTTAGTTAGTTAAAATTGCCCAGTCACCCTGCTGAATGCATTTTAAGTAAGCCACTGTAAGACCCTTTCTCAACCACTAGATGGAAGAGCCAGATAGAAACTCATAAGATGTTTTTACTGGACATCAGTTATAGTAGAGGCCTTGTTCACCCTCATCGTTGTTTTTCACGTGGAAGAGGGATGCTGTAATAGTCTCAGCAGCAAATAGTCCTGTAAAGGAAATCATATAATGGCATCAAATCTTATGTAATGGTGTTTGGATATTGGACATATTCCATTACAGGTCTTTTAATACAGGGACTAATACTATGCAACAACTAATTCTATAACTCTATAATTATAGTTTAAACTACATGTGACAGTGAATAAACCTCCAATGTATGTGGTCATAAAAGGAGCAGCTACATGTAAAATAATTCAATTTGTCTGAAAGAATTAGCATTTTTTAGTTTGAGACTTTCTTACCATGACAGGAA